CCCGGCGGGGGTGCACCGGGCGGGGGCGCGGAGTGAAGGCGGGATGGGGGCGGACAGTCGCAGCCACCGGCTCCGGAGGGGCGAAGCGGGGCCCGGGACGGGGCGGGGAGGGGAGCGCAGCAGGCGGAGCCCGGCGGGGAGCCCCGTTACCTTGACGGCCTCGGCGTGGGTCACCCGGTCCAAGGACTTGCCGTTGACCCCCAGGATCTGGTCACCGACTCGCAGCCCCTCCCGCTCGGCCAGGGAGCCCGGTTCCACCAGGGACACGTAGATACCCACGCCGTGCTCGGCCCCGCCGCGGATGCTGAAGCCCAGACCCTCGTGGGCTTTGCTCCGCCGCAGGGTCACCTGCCGCAGCTCGCCGGGGAGCACCGGCGGCGGGGGGGGCGGGGGGGGCGGGGGGGGGGCCCCACAAAGCCACTTTTCATCATTTATCAGCAGTCCTGGCTGACCGAGGAGGTCCAAGTTGACTGGAGGTTAGCAAATGTGACACCCATCTACAAGAAGGGACGGAAGGAGGAACCGGGGAACTACAGGCCTGTCAGCCTGACCTTGGTGCCGGAGAAGGTCATGGAGCAGATCATCTTGAGTGCCATCACACAGCACATACGGGACAACCAGCGGATCAGGCCCAGTCAGCACAGGTTTATGAAAGGCAGGTCCTGCTTGACCAACCTGATCTCTTTCTATGACAAGGTGATCCGCTTGGTGGATGAGGGAAAGGCTGTGGATGGTGTCTACCTAGACTTTAGTAAGGCCTTTGATACCATTTACCACAGCATTCTCCTGGAGAAGCTGGCTGCTCATGGCTTGGATGGGCATACTCTTCGCTGGGTAAAAAAATGGCTGGATGGCCGGGCCCAAAGAGTGAATGGAGTTAAATCCAGTTGGTGGCTGGTCACAAGTGGTGTTCCCCAGGGCACAGTACCGGGGCCAGTCCTGTTCAATATCTTTATCAACGATCTGGACAAGGGGATCAAGTGCACCCTCAGGTCAGGGCGGCACGGAGCCCTTCCACTCTTCCTGGGGCAGCACGGGGGAAGATGGCTTGTCGGGGGCCCATCCATCCCACACCAGGAGAGCCGGGCTGGCGAGCAGGAGGAATCGGCTGACAGCCCAGAACAGCCTACCCAGGGCACACGGCGGCTGTTACTTGACCCGTAGGGCTGTTTTTCCATTGCCCGGTGTGCCACACAGCGGACTGTCGTTAAGTTATAGCGCTGGTGATTATAGCTGGTAAGTTATAATGGTGGTAATTCGTCCATTCAGCTGGGATTCAGCAGAGAACTTCAGCACTGGCTTCATTTTAATCACAAGTCAATGGCATTTAGGCATGTGCATTATTAGAATCATCACATCACAGAATCGTTAAGGTTGGAAAAGACCTTTAAGATCATCGAGTCCAACCGTTAACTTATCGCTGCCAAGGCCACCACTAAACCATGTCCCTCAGCACCACATCTCCCCGGCTTTTAAATACCCCCAGGGGTGGGGACTCAGCCCCTGCCCTGGGCAGCCTGGGCCAGGGCCTGACTGCCCCTGCGGTGAAGAAGATTTTCCTAATATCCAACCCAAACCTGCCCTGGCGCAGCTTGAGGCCGTTCCCTCTTGGTTTGACTGGTGTTGAAGCAATTTATGATGTTGGGCTTGGAGTCAAACCCAAACTCGCTGCAGTTAACCCCCCTTCATTTAGCAAATACTGGCTGAGTCAGCCGCCTCAGAGAAGCCCTTCCTGTGAGGGATCCTGGTGGCCTAGATCCAGCGGTCAGGAAGCTGGCAGGGCTGCGGGCAGCCGGAATTGCAAACCACAGCGTGGATCAGAGGGATTCCCGAGAGCCCGTTCCTGCCTGGGACGCTGCCACACGCCTGGCCACCCTCGTTTCTGCTTCCACACCCTGAACTTGTGACTTCAGATGCAAAAGCGAAGCGTCAAGATTAGAAGTCAGTGCAGAAATCCAGGGACTGCTTTTCCACGGATGAATTATTTCTTACTACATGAGGTTTTAGTTTCTTTTACATCTCTGGAGCACTGAGCAAAGATCATTTTCCATCTCAGTCATTTGAAATCTTTCTGTCGTCGCTGAAGTGCCTTCTATCCGTTGCAGTATAGTGGGATTAAACCTAATTTATCAGATGCATCTTGATAGCAACAGAATTCATTTTGTTCATGGATATGATGGAAGAGCTTTAACAACTGCATTACAAGTAGTTTTATGTATTAAAGCTTTGTTGGAGCTTTCAATGCCTTGTTTAAAACACAACTAAACAAAGCAGATTGCTAATTGAAATTCGGGTTCTAACTGTGGGTGATAAATAAGCAGATGGAACAGTCAACATTACTGGAAAAAAGGGACAACATAGGACAGAAAAGTGAGTAAAAACAAAAATACGCCTACATCAGCCAAACAAAACAAGAGAAGGGCAAACAAGGTATTGCACATCTTTGAATTGCACTCAAACACAATTTTAATGCTTAGTACCCTGCTGAAAGACTCCTCTATTTAAAGCGCTACTATTCCCACATCGCAGTATCTGAGCATCTCCAGCCTTTTCTTATCCTACGAGAAGGCACCAAGCACACTAACGCAAGCAGTGGCGGATCGAGCTGCCGCTGCGCTAGCTCCAGGCTGGAGCAGCACATCCAGTTCTCCCTGCTTCGGCAGAGCACGGCAATGCCCAAACCACAGCCACCACGGGCATTTAATGACCAAAGCTGCCCAGCGGTGGCATTTGGTCCCTGATATTTTGACCACTACTCCAGCAACTATCACAAAGCCGGTTTCCCAAGCCTAAGACAAGTTCGGTCCAATGCTACCCAGCAGAAACACGCACAACATCCACACAAGTAGCTGCATTTGGAAATAATTCTGTTTTCTTGCTGCTACTACAGCCCTGCCAGCGGAGGCTGTCCATCCTTGGGATGCCCCATCCAGCTGCTACTTGCCATAGGAGAGCTCCAAGGCACCCCTTTGGAGCAGGGCTGGATGTGATGCCTGTTCTAGTTTCTGCTCACGGATCGCATACAAAGTTTTAATCCCCAGATGTTTTACAGATTTAGATTGTTCACACATTGTGCAAGTTGGATCTTCATCACACACAGTCCAGCCAGGGACCCCCACTGCTTTTCCTTTGGAGAAGAAAGGGATTGAGATCTTCTCATAGAACCTGAGCTTTGAAGTGAAGCTGATTAATTTCTAGGGGCTTTATCCTTTCCACTGCTTTAAGCGCTTAAGCCGTGCAGTTGAGAGGGAGCAGCACAGAGCCCTGGGCCAGAGGGGAAAGAGGGGGTTCATCCAGCTCTTGGGCACCGGAGTGTTCCCACACCCCAGTAAAACCTCTCATAACCAAGGCCTCACAGCAGCTTGCCATACCTGCGTAGGGCTGCGTGGCTCAACGGGCCAGATTCTCACTGCTGTAAATCAAAATAGTCCTTTCGGAAAGGGAGCTCTGCAGGCTGGGGTGCTGGCAGCAAGGGCTCAGGATGGAAAGTCAATGCCAGGTGCAAACTCTTCAAACATCCAGGTAAGCGGTCCTTTGGAGCTGAAATTAGTGAATGCTGAGAGTCCACATTCGTTCCTGGGACAACTCCTGGCTGAACTGGACCTTGGTTAACCGGAGGGGCTACACAGGCACCGGCAGCGAAGCCCCAGCCCCCTCACACTCAGCGGAGAGCTGTTGGAGCGGTTGGACACTGCGTAGGCTCAACTCTCAAACAGCATTTCAGATCCAGCACCTAACTGGTGCAGCAGAGTGCCTTAAGGCCAGCAAGAGCCGAAAAGGTGTTATTCATTTTCTTTTTTTAAATCATCCTTGCAGCACAAAATAATCCAATGCATTTGCTAAGTGCCAGATGAATAAATTGCCTAACCTTCCTGCTTTAATCCATTGTAATCTCTTTCCAGAGCACTCTTTGAAAAGTGAGCTCCACGTTTCCAGAGCAGCTGTGCTCCTAATTAAAAGGCACTGTAGCAAGAAGACAACGAAACATAATTCTGGTTGGAAATGCTTTGCTGCAGAGTTGGAGGACTGAGCTGAACTGCGAGGAGGGCCAGGGTGGAAGCAGCAGCTGCCCGTGCTGCTAGGCTCCTTAAGAGAGCATTAGGAGCTGGCTGGCACTCAGGGCTGCCTCTTGGCTAAATCCCCGTTTAGCAGATTGGCTCCCAATCCTCTGTCCCTGGCCGCTGGACTGGTTTGTGCGGCTTGAACATGCGCTTTCCTCAGCCTGGGCAAGAATCAGCTGAGTGCTGCGGTCTACAGAAATAGCCAATGCGGAGGAAAAAGCATCACGCGGGTTTTCTACCAGAAGTCCTGGGTACCGTGGGTTCCAGCACCACCTCGCCATTTGTCTTGCGGTAAAGCTGAATCCAGCACGATTCGGACACAAGTTCCCCACTGCGCTGGGAGCTGCACGAACAGCGGAGAGGCATGCTCCATCTCTTCAGCTCCAGGTGTAACAGGTAGAAGCCGGATTTAAAGAAAAGCCCTAGGAGCAGTGAGAAATTACCATTTCAAGGGGGATTTTCTCAGCTCTGAGTTACAAGCGTAAAGGTAATCCACTCGCAACAGGAACATTTCCAATTTATGGGTGCTGCCATGGTTAATCAGACCAAGTGCAATCTGACACGTCCCAGCCAACAGCCAGGGGTAGATGCTTAAGAGCACGGATCAAGCAGGCAGGGAGGTAGGGAACTCAGACACTTCTTAAATCCTTCTGTATCTGCATATCTACAAATCTTTATGCTCATATTGCTCAGCGCCACGCAGAGGCTGTTAGTGAGCAAAGCCAGCCTGAAACAGGTTCAGTTGGGTGGGAATTTGTCATTTCTCCTTGTGCAACAGAAGATGAAAGATGAGAATTTTAGCTCCAAACCACTGAGACATGCTGTTTCCACAGCAGTACAGTTTGTCAGTCATTTAGATACTGCCTGGATTAAAAAGTTAATCAAATCAAACAGAGAGCAATAGTTTCACCTACATTACCAGAAATATTTTGGTTTAATGCCATTGGAATGCTTTGACACTTATTAAAACCCAAAGTCAAAGCAATTCAAATTAAAACCAAACCACATTTTGGGGAAGCACTTGCTTTAGATAAAGCTACATTTTCTGGTGAAAAAAACCCCCTTCCAACTACAAGAAGTTTCACCCAGATTTGCCTGCAGTGCTCTCTCCACTGTGCCAACACCACCGAGCGTAACCCTGCATCGCAGTGCCAGGCGATTTAAAAGCTGCAATCCTCCTCCCCTCTCCAGCAATTTCTTGCACTTACTCTCTCTCTCTCTCTTTAGTCCTTTTTGAAACGCCTGAAAGAAAAAGCCACTTGCGTCACTGGCTTTTTTTTTTTTTTTTTTTTAATGCTCAGCACAAATCATCTGTAAGTCACGATGTAGGCCTGGATGTTACGGACAGGCAAAGCAGAGACTTGCTGAGGGTCGGTCTTTGTCATTGCCTGGTCTCTGATTTGAGCACTGTGGCTGTTAAACTTCACGGTGTATAAAGGACACGGAGCCTGTTCACGAGGGTTGACTGTCCTTAGGTGTGAGGGATAAAGCCTCCAGAGCGGTGGCGTAGGCAACACATGCAGAAGGAGCCAGCCTCGGGGGTGCAAGTAACTCGCTCCACAGGACTGGGCTTATTCATATTAACTGTGAAAATTGTCAAGCAAGTCCAATATTCCCACATAGATGAGCTGGGCGGCAGAGGAGGACTAGCTAGATTTGCATGTGAAGTTGCAGGATGCTTGGACAGAGGGGAGAGCACAGGTTCTTTATCCTCAGTGTTGCCTTCATGCACGATCTGGGGTCTAACCTTGCACACGGGGGATGCCATGGTACAAATTTATGTCTCCAACCCTGAATTCTCCTCCTGCTGGGTACGTCACTTCCCCAGCCTGGTGCTCTAGTTAGTGTCCACCCTTCAGGCAAGGGCTGCCTCGTACTGGGTGTCTGCACACCAGAGCCTTGACTTCTCTAGGAGGAGCTGAGGCACCCAAGCCCATGCAGCACATCACACATCAGCTGTGATGCTTACTGACAGCATCGCTGTGGCTGGAGAGGACCTGTGCTGGGTTTGGCTGGGGTAAAGTTAATTTTCTTCAGAGTACCCAGTATGGGGCTGTGTTTTGGGTTTGTGCTGGAAACAGCGTTGATAACACTGGTTGGATGGTTTCATTATTGCT